GATTAGCTGTTTGTCGGCTCAGCGCGGCAGCCATTTAAATTTAAATGAAGCCGTGATTATTTAAATTGCGGCTTCATTTCCCTCTGTCGATCAGCCTAATCTACACACCCCTAGGCTCCTAGCCAATGAATGGGGAGTGATAGGCATCAAAAACATCATCCAAAAAAGCCAAGAGTAGTTAAAGGGCTGCCTCTGATTACTAATTAGAGAATAAGACTAGAAATGCATCTGCTAAGCTTGCCCCCTCACAAGCACAGGCAAACCCATCTGGGTATAGTGAAATATGTAGCTCTGCATAGCAATCCACAAACAGAAACCAGCTACCTGGAGTCAGGCTAGTTACTGGTTCAAAAACTGTAGGCTGGAACCCCAAACTGGGTCAGGACCTCATGTTAATGAGGTCTCTAGCAATGGCTTAGATGGGGGGGAAGGGGGAGAAGCACAGGACCAAAGCTTGGTAGTGGGGCTCATGTTACAGGCCACCTTCTGGGCTGAAACACTTGACTCTGATGCCTGTCTCCCTCAGGCTCTCCACATTTATGCTGTTACGCTGTGGCAACAAATCAAACAGTAATTGGAAAAGGGACTAGAGCCCAGGTCTGTCACGTGTGCCCCAAGCAGCGGATTACAAAGTCATTTTCACTCACTCTATAACTCTGAGGAGAAATATAACTATCATTGGGACAGAGACAGAGAAAACAAGACCATGCATGAGTTTATGAGTTGTTCCATAGGCTGCTCTGTATTTTTGTTTATTCAGCTGGTAATGGTAGAAAGAAATCAAAGGGCAACTGAAAAGCATTAAATTCATGCTCTCAAAAGGACTCACTTCCGGACTGTAATTAGTTGGCAGCAAAGGTGCTGAGTAGTGCATGTGGGAGGGAAGAGTGGAGTGGGGAGGAAAAGTACTTGTATCATTGGTTTTTGTTCTTCTGTCCTTGCCCAGGCTATGCTTTGTAGGCTCCAGCCTGGTGAGTAAGACTCCTTGAGGCCTTTGCTTTGCCTCACCCTGAATGTTGCAGAAAGAAAGTTTGCAAATGCCTAAAGCATGGGATTGAAACGTTGCTTTTTTGTTTCACTGAACGGAGGGCTGAAACTGGAAATCTAATGTGAGTACAACTTTTACTTTTAACATGTTTCGGTATGAGAAGCTGGAGACATGCTCTGTTCCCTTTGAGGTATTGTTTACATTAGGGGAAAAAACAAATCTGTATTCCAGCAACAATGCAGCTATACCAGTGTTGCAATCAGCTCACACTAGTGTGATCTGAGTGCTGACATTTTACCTCTGTATAATGAAACTTGCTGTTCCCAGGGCAGTGCTTCGTCCTCAGTAGCACCCGGCACTAGTACAACTGTATATTGTCAGAGTAAAGAGCTACACCAGAGAAAGTGTATACACACTTAACGGAAAGACCTAAAAATTAAGCAGAACTGGGCAGAAGGTGAGGAAGAATAGGGCAAAGAGGAGATTAAGAAACAAGGCAATTGTAAAATATCTTTGAAGGATAATGGGGGAATGGAAACTACTGGAGACTGAAAAGAGTAATACTTCATTTCCAACAACTAACCAAAGATAATAAACCGGGATAACAGGGGCTCTTGTCTCTTTAAATAAAAGTAGCTGGAGGATGCAAGGAAACAGGAAGAGTATATTAAAACATACACACCCACAAAAGCAAATAATGAAGGATCAGAAGAGTAGGGAGAAGTAGATTATTCTGTTTAGCTGCAACCAGTGCAGCTAAACCAGTTCTCCTTTTGGTGCTTTCTTCAGCTCTTTCTGTAGGATACAGATTTTACTTAGGAAATTTCTCATGGTGAAGTCCCCTTTCCTAAGAACAAGCAAAAAAAAAAAAAAGGAGGGGGGGAGCTTTCTATCCTAAAGCAGTCATTATCTGCCGGAGTCTGGTGAGTGGAAAATTCCTATTTTTAAATAACTTTGAATTAGGGAAAACTAAAGTTCTCAGTAACTAGACAGTCAAAGTTTTTATTGATAAACAACAATTACAAACTTAAAAATCCAGATGAGGATATGTATAAGCAATGCCATTTTTATCTTGAACACTAGATTTCTTAGCAATACATTTTTCTCTGATGTACATCAGATCTGTGTTAATTGCATTCATTTTTCTGTCAGGTCTGTGTTAATTGCTAATGAGCATATTATTGGTATGAAAGCTGAATTATTATATTTCAAATCTCTAAAGGGTCTGTACGATCATATAATATATTGAGAAGCTACTCAAACTGTTCTTTTAAAAAATGATATTTAAGGCAGAAAACACCATGGCATTAGTATTCATCCTCTGGAAACTTCCACTACATGCATCTGACGAAGTGGGTCTTTGCCCATGAAAGCTTATGCTCCAACACTTCAGTTAGTCTATAAGGTGCCACGGGACTCCCCGACGCTTTTGCAGATTCAGACTAACACGGCTACCCCTCTGATCCTGTAGCATGTTTCAAAGGCTCTAGACAATGGGGCCAGTCCTGCAAGATGCTAATTGCTGCCTGGGAAGCACCAAGCATCCTCAGTTCTGGAATATTCAGTACCTTCCCAACTTCCGGTGACATTCAGACGGTGCTCAGGACCATGCTTGATTGGACCCTGGAGCTAACTAGGTGGATAGGGATGTAAATGGCTACCAGATAAGCCTCACCCTGGAGCACTCCCTGCCTGCTTCACCCAGGGGGCTGCTACTGCAGCCCTCCAAGGCCCATCACAGACAGGGGAGGCCCAACTCCCCCACCACAGGTTACGCTCCAGCTCCCTGGGAGCCAGCTGCAAAGCCTACAGCAAAGCCTCCTCTCCAGGAGCAGGGCCAATATCCTCTGCCAGCTTTGCTCCTAGGGAGGTGGATTTGCTGTAGGCTCTGGAGTATAAAACAAATATATTAAGTCAATTTTTAGGAATTACACAATTACATATTTAAATAACTTTTTTACATCCCTATTCTTTTGTGCATAATGAGGTAGGAGGACTTAGTCCCACCTTCTCCACCAGGTCTCAACCCAAAGCCCTGTCAGTGGTTGGGTTGCCCACCCAACTTTGGTCTCAACCCAAAGCCCTGTCAGTGGTAGGGTTGCCCACTACCAGCTCAGCAGAGTCCCAAAACACATCAAGCTTTTTTGGCAAAGCTACCATTCTCCACAAAATTCCCCTGGGTTACTTCCTACCCAACTTTTTAGCATTGTGCTCTCCATATCTTTCCTCTCAGTGGCATTCCAGGCTGGGGCATCTACATCAGCTGCTTTCTGGCTAGCACTGGTGTCTTAGTAGATCAGCAGTTCTACTTCAGGAGTTACTACAAACAGCCCAGAGTAAGCTGCTCTACAGGCCTTTATATCTGGCCTCCAGCTGGAGCATGCTCAGCAGGGCCTCCTCAGTTAGGTAAACAGGGTTAACCCTTGCCTTTCCAGTGCAGGATTTGTATGCCCTATCATGGGACGATATATTCTGACATAATAGAGCTGGTGCGAAAGTTTTTAAAAAGCAATACAACATAATAGAGTTAGAGAAAGCAGAAATGGCATATTTAACTAAAACTGTGTTACGCTGAGCGGAGTGTTGGTACTTGTTACATCTGCAGTGAACACAGCCTCAGATTCTGCAGTAGGATCTTCACAGTCAGACCCTTGCAGTTTAATGGAGTCTCACTCCATTTAATGGAACTGTTCTTGGGTTAAAGGGTGCAGCCCTCTCTCCTTCCTCCCCCTCCCCTGATCTGATTAAGGCGTGTGCGCTGTATTTGTTAGATTTTAAATTACTCCATAATCCAATAATATATAACTAGCCAATTTGCCCGTCATAAGACGGGATTTTCAGGTCTCTCCTCCTCGTCGGTCTTCTCTCCTGAGTCTCCGGTCTCTCGCTCCGTCTTTCTCTCCTCCTCCTGCCTCCCCCCCCCCAGCTCTCTTCCTCCTTCTGCCTCTTTATGTCTCTTCTCCTCCCTCTTCTGCCTCTCACTTGGGGGACTGCGGAGCCCAAATGGTCACCGCCCCGCCCCCCCTTCGTCTCCCGCCATAGCACT